CTCTTACCTCCCTCCTCAATCCAAAACCATGCTTCAGGTCAGCAGCTGGAGGAATCCTTTAAGAATGTGCATCATATCCATATCATGGTTTATCTTTCCTCAGAACCTTACAGTGTCTCCCCATTTTCCTCAGAGTGAAACTAGTATCCATACAGTGGACCCTAAATATATACCTATCTTCCCATCATCCCCTACCCCTGAATTCTGACCTACCACTTTCCCCATCCCTTATGTAGGTAGTAGGCAGTTATGCAAGCATTTGCTCTTTATTATCTTTGCCTGGAATATATGCATAACTGGTTGCCTCATTTCCTTTAGATTTTTGTTCACATATCACTTTTTCCTGAAACTTTCCCTAATCACCCAATTTAAAATGGCTATGAGTCCCTCACCTCTCAAAGGTCCTGTTCCACCTTTGTGACCTATTTTTAAAACACTTATGACAAACTGTTTTGGTCACCTTTTTAAACTGTTTTGCTTCTCTTCTGTTGGAATTTGAAGTGAAAAGACAGAGGGGCTGGGATTTTTTCTGCTTGGTTTACTGCTATATTATCTATATCCCTTATATCAAATTGTTTTTTGTATATATGAATCAGCTGTATCTTAAGACTGATCTGAGTTGATGTTGAGATTATTGAGTTTCTTTCCTGTTGGTTTCTCCAACTAGTTTTATTCCTTAAAAGTAGCAATTAAAAGATACAGCTTCAGAATCTTCTGTACTCTTACTTGAAATTTGAGAACATGCTTGCAAATGCTTTCATGGGACTTTTGGGGGTAGATAATAAAAGGCCATGCAGTCTCTGGCTCATTTCTTGGAATCTTTGCACTTCAGTATAAGAGGTTGGAGGACCCTGGGGCTGCCATGCTGTGAGGAAGTCCAAGTCACACGGAAAGGCCATATATAGTTGCTCAGATTTAGAATTTCAGGTAAGCCTGGCCTTCAAGTCATTTTCTAGCCAAGAAAGCATACAGGTGAAGAAGCCATCTTGGAAGTGGATCCACCAGCTGCAGCTGTTCCAGCACCCTAATACCATGCTTTAAAAACCAGCCTTCCTTGCTCTGCCTGTTATGAGTTTCTGACCCAGAATTCATGAGCATAATAAAATGGTGATGATTGGACACCACTAAATTTGGGGTGATTTTTTTTACACAGCAGTAGATTACCGGGATGGTAAGGTGGAAAGGCCAGATATAAATAGTAAATTACTTTTGGATAGATAGTTAAGTTTTGAATTTTTTTCTTTTGTCTGCCAAAGAAAGTATATGGTATGTGCAAATGTTATCCTGTCAGGCTCATCTTGGATGCTAGTGTCCATCCAGATTAACTCACTAGACTTTAGATTCTCGTTAACTGCCAAGAAATGTCATCCTGATGAACCACTTGAGGTTTCATGTTCAAAATTCTCGGTTCTTGTTATATTTCCATGTTGATCACCTGGAGGAGCTGGCAGCTTTATACCAGCTAAGGCCATCCTAGTCATTAGATTATAGAAAAATAACCTCAGCATCAGTGTCACAGTGAAATAGCCAATTTTCTTCTTTTTATTGTTTTTGAAATGAGAATGGGTTGTGATTAGAACTATCCACCAGAGATCAGCTTTTCAGAATCAGCTGCTATTGAAAATCTGGATGTTCTCAGATCTGGAAGGCCAATAGAAACTCACTCATAAAGCTTCTTTTACTCATCAGAAAGGGGAACATGACCAAAGTCTCAGGTTAGGACTGGACACGGTCCTGACTGCCCATCTCCATGAAGTGCTCTTTTGTCTCATTAAGTGGTTTTTAGCCTGTAGTATGGCTCAAAGGTGAACTTCTTGGGTGCTGGACCAGGCCCTGTGAACCAGCTGAAATGACATGGCATTTTGTTGGTTTATGCTTCTGTATCCATTTCTGGGGATAATCCATAGCTTCCGACTGATTCTTACAGAAATCACTGACCCAGAAAAGCATAGGAACCGCTGAACTTGATGTTTCAATATTGTCGTTTAAAAACTTACAGAGTAAGTAAAATCTTATTTTCCCTCATCCCTACACCCAGATGCTCCTGGGGAACTTCTTTAGTTTTATTTAAAATCATTGTCTAATGGGTGCATCTTTCAGATGATTAAGGATAGTTGTAGTACCAGCAACCAACTCATCTTACTCTAAGTTTAGAAAAATTTGGCCAGCACTCACATGTTGAAATCACTTTGCTGTAGTTAAAGCATAGAGAGCTGGGATCTCTACATATAAAGGCTGAAAACTCTGAGACCAACTTAATACAAATTCATTTTTCATGTGCACCACCATCCAGTGTGGGTGTTTAATAGGCTTTTCACTTGGTATTTCAGGAACCCAGGTTCCTTTCATCTTGGGGTTCTGCCATCTTCTTGGCTCTTGTGTTCCTTTAGCAGCAGGCAGAAAAAGAGGGAGAAATGAGGACAGAGTAAGAGATTTTTAAGGCCTTGAGTTCCTCATTTTTACCCATATTCCACTGGCCAGAAATAAGTCACATGGTCTCACCTGAAACAAGGGTGGTGGTGGTGGTATTTCCAACAATAGCTCCACGCTAATAAAGAGGAACACAGATCTTTATTGGGCAACTGATCCTTTCTGCTACAATCAGAGTGTGCTTTTTAAGGATCCCAAATCTGAGAGATGAATAAAGTGGCTGAGATGGGACTTTTAGGCAATCCATAAACTGGTAAGGAATCTGTCTGCAATTCAGGAGACCTGGGTTTGATCCCTGGGTTGGAAAGATCCCCTGCAGAAGGGAAAAGTTTCCCACTCCAGTATTCTGGCCTGGAGAATTCCAAGGGGTCGCAAAGAGTTGGACCCGACTGAGTGACTTTCACATAAAGTCTTCATGTGGCTCATAATCTTCACTTACCTGACACCTTAAGAATTAAGGTGATCCTTAGAAACTGTGAAGTCTGAGTTGATTGAAATATGTTTAAAATAGGAAAATTACAATTCTTGGGTAATTGGAAATTTTATTTTTTTAAGGAGTGACAGAGATTTGGGGCTGGTTTTTGAACTGGTTTATAATAGGACTTGTATAGTCATAGCAAAGAGAACTCTGTTTTCATTTTTGCAAAACTATTGCTACAAGTTTAGCTTTGTTATTGCATGTTTGCCCTTAAAAATGTTTTCATGCTTGGCAGAAATTTTAGCAGCACATGTTTTTTGCCCTAATGGTTTTTATTTTTGTTGTGTTGCTTCACAATTATTTTTGTTTGTTTTATACAAGCTTAACCTCTCTCCTCAAATTATCTTATAATTTTTATTCTGAAAGTTTACTGGCTATAGTATGAAATTATGAGTTTCATTCTCAGTTTTTTTAATTAAGATACTTTTGATACCACATGTTATTGGAGTTGTTGACCTACCTATGAAATGTATTTCTTCTGTGACTTACTGTGGAACAGTTCTGGCAGGTTACTTACTTTCTGTTTTCTCATCTGTAAGATTTTATTGATCCAGTGAACTCCAACAATCTTGGAAATAATGTTGAGGGCTAAGTTGACTTTTTATTTTTTAAAGACTGAATTCGTTATGTGATGTATCTGATAATATACTGAAATTGGGTTCAGTAATACTTGGACTCATTCCGTACAGAAATATTTTAGGGGGAAAAATGTCCTAACTGATGTTGAGACCATTTTGAATAATGCCTGAGCACCAATTCTAATTCTTCTCAAAATCAAGGTTGAGAAGTAGTTTTGCATAGCTCTGCAGATTTGTGCCAGTGATGCCTTTGAGGAGAAAATATACTATAGTCCAGAGGTGTAGCAGTTATTCCCCAGTACTGGTCCCTAGACGTATGCACCATGGTCCATGACCATGGTCTTCTTGAGCTGCTGGGAAATAAGAACAAAGTAATAGGATATGGGTGAAAGGTTGCCTGTTTTGTTAACCCTGGAATCCAGGGAAGGATCATCTTTTTTTCTGTGACTCTGTTCTGAAAAATTTCTTTCTTGATGAAATGTTCTTTCTTAATGAAATGGTGATGATAATAGATGTTAGTAATGGTGGAGGTAGGGTTATTTTTAATGTCCTTACTTGGATAAAGCCAGATATTATATTGGTCCTCTTCTTTAACACTCAAAGTTTTTCTTTTCCTTTTTTAAAAAAATGTTTGTGGTCCAGTGGAGTGTAAAGTCGCTCAGTCATGTCTGACTCTTTGTGACCCCATGGATGGCCCATGGAATTCCCCAGGCCAGAATACTGGAGTGGATAGCTGTTCCCTTCTCCAAGGGATCTTCCCAACCCAGGGAATGTAAAGATTTAGCACTACTCCATGTTGACGTTAAATGACTTTTCTGGAAGCAAATAAATCTTATAGCATTATCCATTGGTGTCTTATAATTCAAAATAAGTCTTAATGTAATTATTCCATAGGTGAGTAACTGTACCAGCAATTTTGACATGTGTAAGCATTTTTGTTTATTCCTGTCATTGGCTACTTTCATAAAACTGTTGATAATTATCATTAAGGAAAATAAAGTATTAACTGAACGACTTTATCTCTTCTCTTCTGCCAAGGCTATCTTTCAGTCTTGATAGACTTTTTTTTGGAGACATACAAAAAGTAAGCCTTGAAGCTTAAAATTGTAATTACATTTTTTTGCTTTTTATCTATAAAGAATTTCTTGAGTCTATATCTGGCTTTAACCATTTTTTCTCCCTTCTAACACTGTTGATATTAATGCCAGTTTTAATTTCTTGGCATCATGAATGCACAAACATATCACACACAGATGTGGTTTTGAACAAGGACTGAAACTGTAAATTAGGAAGCAAGAGATTCACAGGGTTTCATCAGACCAATTCACTGCAAAAAGTGACACAGTTGTACTGAAAATGTTTAAAATTGCTCATTTCAAACCTACTTCAGTAGCAAAATACCATGCGTGCAGCAGATTTGCAACCACGTTAGTCATTTTCTTTCCTCTGTTTCCTTGCTGTGTTTGTATTGGGAGCACAGAGTAATGTAATTTAGTAAATTATGATTTGATGGCTGGGCAACAGCCCCAGTGTTGAACAGTATTTGGATTATGATTACTTGCTGGCTTTGTCACAGTTGACATTAATTATTGATGGAAGTTTCAGAAATAGCGCATGTGCCAGGAGCTTTTCACCGGATCGCATGCTCCAGGCAGCAGGGATGCTAACGAGGGTGGGGGAAGAGGCACCTGTGGCTTGTTTATGTCTGTACACTGCGAGCCTGGACCGGGTGGGCTGAGTGGTACCTGTGCAAAAGTCATGGTGTAACGGAAGGATGAACCGTCAGGCTTATTTCTATCGTGTTCCTCCCCAGGAATTACACCGAAGAAGCCAACTTCAGCCGGAGCCAGCCAAGACGAAGGCTCTCCAGACTGTCATTGAAATGAAGGTAGGAGCTATTCACATTTTTCAAAAACAGCTGTTTCCCCGGAGTTTGTTCTAAACTTGATGGTGACTAACACAAACACATGAAATGTACAGTTGTGTTTTTCCTTAGGCACCCTAATGGGTGCTTTTTCTTCTGGATTTCTTTTTTCTTTTTTGCCTTCTTGGGTATATTTAATTTATTGGCCCTTTAATGAGGATGCTTTTTCTGGGCAAAAGAATAAAGGGCTCAAGTATCCTTTGGCAGAAAGGAGCTGGCTTCATTTCCAAAATGTAGCCAGTGCTTTCAATCCTAAGGGAGGTTTTGTGTGTGCTTTAAAAGTAAATTTCTAAAGCTAGAATAATTCTTTTTTCTTCTTTCCATTCACATGACAATGAAAAGACACCTTGAGAAACTAAGATTTGGCAAAGATAAGTTGTTTTTTGTGCAGTGGAGGTGTTAAATAATTAAAATTATGCTATAGCAAAATTTACTTTTCAAAGAATAATAACTTTCTTATGACTTCAGTATTTTTTCCTAAGTCTGAAATTAATAATAATTTATCAAATACAAAGTACTCTATTTAACTGGGGGAGCATAGAGATGTTTAAAAGAAGCAAAGATCCTCCTGGATGGATTTAGGACATCTAAAGAATAATGTAGTATATAATGATGACTGAGCCATTAAGAAACCAATCTATGAAACCCAGTTGCTCTGTCAGTTTATAAAGATTTGAAGTCTTTTACTTTCAGTTTTTGCCAAAAGGAAGCAAATAGTAGAGTATTTCTTGTAAGAATAAATAATTATTGATTTTTACTTCCGTGAAGAAAAAAATTCATAATGATGTTTGCAATTTCGGTATTTCATGCCTAAGTATAACATTTGAGAGTTTGCTGGTCACCATCTTTCTACAAAAGAATTCTAAAGCTTGCTGATAGGGTAATGATTTTTCTGTCTCAGAACACATTATTTTGAAATGTCTGCCAAAAACTTCCCAGCCGTGGGGGAGGAAACTAATGCAAGCTACTGAGTTCCTGGCATTACAAGTCTAACCTGAGTTTTGTTTTGTTTTTTCCCTTGTCAATGACAATGTCTTCATCCAAGTGGATTTTTTTTTTTTTTTTGAAATAACGTAGAACATTTACTTTAAGACTTTATGTCTCCTGAATGAGGTTACATGATTCATGGTACTTATAAATACATTTGCAGCAAATTGATTTGAAAAATATTATCAAAGGGATCAAATGCCAGTAAGGTTAAAAAATAATTGCTAATCTTGACTCATTGATTCTTTTTGGATTTGCATAATTTTGACTTATTTTGTAAATAAGCTTCCTATTCTACACTTCTAGGGGAGTGTAGAATCTTGTAACAGAGATTTCTTCCTCACTTCACATTGGAACCAAACTTGAAACTTGGCTAAGGCTTAAAAACACACACACACACAAAACAATAGAAAAGGAAAAAGACAAGACAAAAGATTTTATTTCAGTTTTCTGTGAAGAGTCATTCAGTCGCCTTTCTACCTACCTCCATACCTACCTCCCCAGTTCCAACACAATTAATAATAGAAGAGGATGTATATAAAACTATTTCCAAAGCATTCCTTTTTTTTTTTTTTAAGGAAAGATTGTGTTTCAGAACTCTTCGGAGAAACCAGGAGTGGCATCTCTCTCAGAGTAGTGGTCATTTTCTGTTAAATGACTGTACAGACTAATAGTCTGACTATTAGTGCTTTTTTGTGATTTTAAGTGTGAAGTCTGTTTGCCTATAGCTTACTCTTTTTAGCATCATATGTTTTATTAGAAAACAAAAAATAGTCATAGTTATTTGTATTTAATAGTTAATTAAAAACACTCCTTTGGGCTATCTACATAAGAAGGCCATATAAAATATGTTTTAAATTATAAAATAAAATTATTAGGGCAAGTTCACTCCATATGTTATCAGTAAATTGAGTCTGGAGTTTTGTTTTTATTTAAATGGATGCCAGTGATGCTGATTGGTAGAAGAACACATTTTCAGGACAATTGATTATCAGTATACTGTCAGGGAACTGAGCCTGGAGTTCTTCTGTTGTCTTTGGATGCCTGTTAATTTACAAAGCACTGCCTTCTGTTTTGTCAGTGGACAAGTCTGGGTCCCATTAGCATCTATACTCAGCGTGCATAAATTGAGTTATGGGGGCAGCTGGTAGAAGGTCATCTCCTCAGTCATGTGTGTAAGGTTGTGATGGAGGCTGTGATCTCTTCTGATTTTGTATATTATGTTCCTGTGAAATGGGAGGGAATATTGGAAACCCATATTTTATAAGCATTAGGGTTGACTACCAAATAGAACTAACCCTTAAAACTAATAGGTGTAACTTGAGACATGGTTGTATTTTAATTTTAACACCTTTGGATAAAGGTGTCATATACTACCTTGACAAAATCTGAAGTTAAAAGGAGCTTTCCTGGAGTCAGCTGGATATTTAGTTTCCGGGAGGTGACATGAATTTAGAAGCTACCCCTACTTTTCTCTTACTTCTTAAAGAAACTGAGGGTGAAATTATGAGTCCTCATCTTCTCCAAAAATATACCTTGCATCAACTCAGAAAGTTGTTATGAAAATCTGTGAAATCTTGCCCCAATTAGAATTCTTTTAGAGACACAGTCTGGTAGTTCTAGTAGATGTCTATGTACATCTCTGGGCTTTTAGAGTTGTGAAAATACGTCTCTGTGGGGGAGGGCCGTCTGCATACACTGAAGTGGGGGCAGTTCTCTTGTAGCCATCACACCTACTGTCAGCCAATTCAGTCAGGGGGGCTAAAGTCACCTGAATAAATATGAAAGGAAGCAAAGTAAATGAAGTTATTTGTGATTTATCTTCTTGCAGGAAGCTCCAAGTTTTAATTTTGATCCTGATTTGGTCTGGCAGGTATGTTCCAGGTTTGCACTTAGAACATTGTGTCTTTCAGAAAAATTAGTTTTCCTGTAGATGTTGCAGTGCTCCTCCTTTTCTTGCTTTTGTGACTAAAGATTCTTTACTAAGCTTCCCTTTCCTGCTCTTATGAAGAACTGTCAATTAAAAACGTAGTTAAATGATGTCCCCCTCCTCCTTTTCTTTTAATTCCTTGTAAAGAATGTGTTTTAACCTACTTCTGTTATAAATTTGACATGTCATAAACATGATGTTCAAAAGTTTCACTTTCTTGGGTTCATTCATAAATTTGTATCTAGTGTTTTTTTTTAAATGAAAATGAATTATGGTAGCGACAGTACTTGTCACATAATCTCTGTTTTTTTTTTTTTCTTTGTTAGTTAAAACTTCTAAGTGAATGAAAATCTAATTTAAAATGGCTAAAGCCTAAAGGAAATGTATTGACTCATGTAACTGGGAAAAACAAGATATTGTTCAGGAATAGCTTGCTCTTGGGGCTCAAAGATGTTAACAGATTCCATTTTCTCTCATTCAGTCTCTCAATTTAGCTTTCTTCATGTAAGTCTGTTTTCAGACAGCCCCTTTATGCGTGTCTGAGCAAAGTGGCTGCAGCATCTCCAGCAATCACAGATGGAAGGGATAGGGAGAAGGTTGTGTTTTTAAAAAATGCAAAAAATAAGAAAAAAGAAAAAAGAAAAACCACCAACCCTAGAATAATAACAATTACTGAGATGGAATGTAAAATTTCACTCCAAATTTAACAACTCAGGCTATAAGAAAAAACTTGAAATTCTCTAAATTCCATTAGTTTAATAAATTAAATGGCATTTATCAAGAAAAACTTTGTTCGCGCTAAATTCAGCACAGTTTATCAGATGGGATATATGAGTGATATATGGATTTTAGTAAGAGTTGCAGATAATATACTTGGTCTGGTGAACTTGTTAGCTAAAGTGGATTAAGAAGCTAGGGGCGTAATGTGACTATATGACAATATTTCTGTGGCAACTGAAGTGAGAATTGTGGTTATTTAGGTTCCTTGTCACATAATCAGCTGTGGCACTTTTTGTGTCATGAGTGGTTCTTCTTGTGTAACATTTATCCCCACTAAGCTTTTCTGTGGAAATTGAGTAGTAAGCAGTTCAAGACTGAGCTTGACCAAGTTGCTGCCTCATAGATGTGCTACTGGTGAAAGAATATGACTTTGTGTTCAAGTGCTACCTCTAATGGTGAGGTTGATCTTTTGATTTTAAATCCACAAACCAAGCCTTGTCTTTGTGTTCAGGCAGATGTCTGCTGTTATTCTGCATGGGGTTAACTGACCTTGTAGTTGAGGCTAATTTTCCGTTAAGAGATAGCTTGGTGTTTGATCAAATTCAAGCAGTTCAGTTTCACCAGGCATGGAAGGGATACACTGGAGCATGGGAAGGCAAAAACTACCTGGTAACTTTTCCCAACATCACATAATTAGGAAGGGAAAGATTTCAATTTCAAACCTTGGCCATTGAATGCATCCCACTTCCCACTGTGAATGTAATTTGAGTCCTGGGATCCAGTCAGGAATACCATGAAGTGGCTGAAATGTTTTCTTTGGCTCGAGGGCCTACCTAGGTTTATGTTGCTCATCTTTTGAACTGTTATTTTATATGAGTCAAAACGTGGCAGTCAGATTTATTTTTTCTCCCAAGATTATGTGTTCATTGCAAATTTGTGTCAATTCGTTTTTCTAGTCAGGGCATTGTGATGGATCTTAGGCCTTAAAAATAGACCATGGCTCTTTTTGTGGCTACTAAGAAGTATTAACAGCAAGGAAAAAAAAACCCAACTACCACCTATATCACCAGTGACATCTACAGCTCAAACATCACTAACCACACATGGAGAGCTAGGTGTGAGGCATCTGACATGTAATAACCCATGAGTAGGCATGAGTAGCCAAATTTCACAGATGAAAAAGCCATGTTTTAGAGAAAATGAGCAGCCTGCCCAAGGTCCTGCAGCAGGTAGGTTGGCAGCTGAGAGATGAACACAAGTTTCTTTGAAGTTCTTAAACTCCTTCCTCTTACAGTCTGCTTTTACTGAAGACGATTCCTAAGTTCAG